ATGCTTTCCTGGGGGTAGATGTTGGAGCAGAAGGTGTGGCTAAAGGGGAGCTAGAAGGTAGTGAACAGGGACATGTACTTTGTGAAAGTTCTCGCTGCACTTGTAGCCAATGAATCAATAACAGTACTCATACAAAAACAGAACTAGAAATACACATTATCCTAGTGGCCAATGGATTTGGTCGCCATTGGGTAACAGGTGTCTAAGACATGCCTTATTACTGTCACTTCTTTTTTATTATTTTATTTTTTATTGAAGTATAATTGGTTTACAATGTTGTATTAGTTTCTGGTGTACAGCATAGTAGTGATTCAGTTATACATATGTATTCCTTTTCATACTCTTTTTCATTATAGGCCATTACAAGATATTGAATGTAATTCCCTATGCTATATCCCACCTATTCTTAATGCCAAACTTTAAGTCCAGAAGATGATTGTTTGTCCCTGTTTGTGATAGAATGATAGAATCTCAGGCTTTGGAAAGGACCTTCACAGCACTTAAGACCAACCTGTCTCAGTATAGTTGGGGCGATCACACATTCTTATTTGCTCAGAGAAGTCCAGTTGATGCCTGATGATGCCTGATATAATATTTAATAGTGTACTCTCTCTCTCTCTTTCTCAAGTATCCTAATTTGGCTGTTAAATGATAAGGTCACTCTAGGAATAGGAATCTCCCAACAGAAATGCTGTGATATTCAAGTCTCACTTGTGCTCCTTTGTCAAATTACTGTATAACTAACTTCAGAATTGAACTCAAGGCTAATAAGGGCCTTCAAACATCATCCTGGTGAGGGGCCTCCAGGGATGAAATAAGCAGCAAAGATATTATAGACTGCATCTATGGAGACAAAGTGAAATGAAGGGAAGCCAGATATGTGATAAATCCCAGGAATATGTGCAGCCAATTTAGATAATCCAGATTGGGGAAAAATATTTTCATTAGTAACAACCCAGTTCTTTGTCACCTATCCCCCACAATACATGGCCCAGAACTTTACATGAGTTGCTCCATGTAAATGCAGCCTCTTGAGCAAGTCTGAGCCATCTGCTTATAGTCTTTGGGGAAGAATAGAATAGAAACATCTATGTCTCGCTGTAGAGGAACACAGAGGGCTTTCAAAACTCACTCATAGTCATCAAGGTTTTCCTCTTCTTCAGATGAACTTGACTCAGGGGATCCCCTGAACAAGAGAGGAAACAACATGAATACAAAAAAAAAAAACAAAAACACAAGAAACAATCCAGGTATGTTAGTGTTCATGCTAACACCAGTGCATATCATGAGTAATGGATAGGAAAAATCATTGTGACCCACAAGCCATTGATTCAGACCACCTTCAGGGTTCAGAGAATCAAACTACATGGATTTGTTTGTTTTATATTTACTTTAAAAAGCCAAGTATAGTTGCAAAATTATTGCAAAGGTGGTTAGTTTTCCTGCAAATGGAAGAAATCCTGCATATAAAAGAATATTTGAATTGGTTTTACCATGACATCTTTGAGGTGCTGTGATTTACATTTCTCTCCCTTTGGTTACTGCTGGCAAAATCTTCATTGCTACAAAAAAAGAGATACACTTCATACATTTATGTTTATTTATAAATGTTAAATGACAAAAGCAATTTTGTTAGATATGTTTTAGCTTGATTGAACATTTTGACCCATATATGTCACTTTGTTTGAAAATTTAAGCTAATGAGTGTTTTTCACATTTTCATCCTTTCAGGGACTCTAATAAAAAGCAGTAGTTTGACAGTATGTCTAAACCAAAGAGAATTTTTAATAATGGCTCATAATAACCCCAAAATAGAAAACTTGGATTAATAAATCATCTTGAGTGGGGTTGCCCTGATTTTTTTCTATGTATGCAAGCATTCTACCACTTATATATTTTTAAATAAGTTATTTTCCTCTTTGCTGTTGTGACTGCAATGAAAAGTCTTGAAAATACTGAACTTTTAACTCCATGGGGACTCAGCTAGATCTGCAGGATTTTCTTCATCCTCTGCCACCCATCATTTCATCTCTCTCATTTCGGGGGTTAAGCAGAGCAGGAGGAAGTGCCTACTTCTCCAAGTCCAAAGGCTGTTTTATTTGGAATGTAGGACCTATTTCCTGTTTGCTTCCATAGCCCAGGCTCTTTTTCAAAACCACACTTCTCAGCGACAAGCTTCCTGAACAAAGCAGTGCTCCTCTGGCTCCTTCCCCACCTGCCCAAAAGAGCCTTGCTCACTAGCATAGCTTTTCCACTTCAGCTCTTCATAGGAAAACTCTTATTTAAAAATGCTAAGCAATTTCTTTAGCCTTTTTGTGGTTTTTAAGAACACGTGGAGAGTGTCCGTCAATGGTGCATCTCTTAGGTTTATCCTAAGCTCTCTCAGCAGAAGGATGTATTTGAAAGATTCAGTGTTCTAGGATGTGGGGTTATTTGGAGAAAGAGGGGAGGGAAAGGAGAGGGAATAAAATGTTCAAGTATTATTTAGATCATTAGATCAGATAATCTACATGGAAAGTCCATGCTGTTCAGCCCCAGTGGGGCCACTGTGACCCCACCCAGGTTTCTGGCTCAGGCCTGAACATTTTCTAAGAGGACAGCCCTATCTATGCAGAGACTGCAGTGGCCAGCATTGAGGTAGCTCCAAGGCAGTGGGGTAACATCTACTCTGTGTGCTGCACAGCCAGACTGAAAGCTGGGGTTTACCTTTTCAGTTTCCTTACTTGCCACCAGTCAGGACAGTCTTCTCTTGGAATATACTGCATGTTGACGTTTGATGGGGAGTCATACTTTTTCTTTGGGTCGCTGTCATATGGGACAAGAGCGGTACTTGAAGATGGTTCATCCGTTCTGAGAACTGGAACTGCTCGAGGAATCTTCAGCTTTGGAGGACAAGAGAGTTTAGTGTATCACAGTGAGGCACAGATTCATGTAGTGGTAACTAACAACCAACCAGAGCATATTAGCTCTTAGATGAAAAAGAAAGAGATAAACAACAAGGTCCTACTGTATAGCACAGGGAACTATATTCAAATCTTGTAATAACCTACATTGGAAAAGAATCTGCAAAAGAATATATATATAAATAAATAAATAAAACTGGATCACTATGCTGTACACCTGAAATTAACACAACATTGTAAATCAACTATACTTCAATTTAAGAAAAGAAAGTAAGGAAGGGAGGGAGGGCGGGACAGAGGAAGAAAGCAAAGAAGCAATACAAAGTATTGACAAAGATACGGAGCAACAGGGACTCTCATATTTCGCTGGTTGGAGCATGAGGTAGTATGACCCCATTGGAAAGTTGTTTGTGAAATCTTCTAAAATTGGATGTGCACATATCCTATGGTCCAGAAAGTCAATATAACACACCCAGTAGTGAAACCAAAAGTCATATAAAAGAATGTTCATAGCAGAATTATTTCAATTGGATAAAACCTGGAAACTCCCTAAATGCCCATTAAGAGGATAAAATAATAAACATACTGTGGCTGTAGTAGGTTAAATAATGTCCCCCCCATGTACAGCAGATATAAGGATGGAAGCAGAGATCAGAGAGGCAAGAAGATGCTACCATTCTGATCCTGAAGATGGAGAAAGGAGCCAGGAATCAGGGAATGTAGGCAGCCTCCAGAAGCTGGAAAAAGTCAGGAAGTAGATTTTCCCCTAATGCCTCCTGAAGGAACACAGCTGTGTAGACTCATTTTAGACTCTGACTTTAGAACCATGAGAGACTAAATTTGTGTTGCTTTAAGCCATTGAATTTGTGGTGATTTGTTGCAGTATCGATAAGAAACTAATACAGTGTTATATTCACACAGTGGAATTCTATATAGCAATGAGAATAAACTACAACCACATACTAAAATATGGGTGAATCTCCTAAGGAAACAGACAACAAAAACTATATACTTTATAATTCCATTTATATAAAGGTCAAAGTCAGGCAAATAATCTATGATGCTATAGGTCAGGCTAGTGATTACCCTTGGTGGGATGTAGTGACCGAAAGAGAAGATTAGAACCCCTGGGATTCTGTGATGTTCTGCTTCTTAATCTGAGTGTGGATTAAACAGATGTGTTCAGTTTGTGAAAATCCATCAAGTTGAACACTTAGGACTTGTATACTTTTCTAAGTGCATGTTATATACCTCATTGAAAATTCACATAAAATATATCATCTGAATTTAATTTTTTTCACATTGTACTTCACTTTTTCTCACGGATTGACATACTAGAGATTTTTGTTCTGCAAGGCCCTGATATTTATGAGCTGTGAGATCCTTCTTCCCAAACATAAATGCAGTAGAAAATTTCCTGAACAGAAATCTGAATAGAATGACTACAGAGCAAATTTTCATTTTCCTCAGCTCAGCCAAGTAAATCCTCTAATGAATACTCTGGTGAAAACAAAACAGAAGGAAACATGCTTTTCACAATATCCTCTCTGATCCCTGATCCCTTAAGGAAGCTTGTAATCAAAAACAGACTTAGGAACCCTTGGCCATGGATTTGCCTGACCAATCATTTTCAATGCATTTCCCAACTAATTCCTTGTCAGAGACTAGATGCAGTGGTTTGGTGCTCCTAAATTATCCTTTGCTCTTAGCTTTGTTTAAATTAACTAAACTTTATTGGAGTATAATTGACATACCATAAAATTCATCCATTGTAAGTGTAGAATTCAGTGACTTTTAGTAAATTTATCAAGTTGAGCGATCATCCTCACAACCCAGTCTTAGCATGTTTCCATCTCTCCTATAAGATCTGTCTTGCCCATTTGTAATCAGTCCCCACTCCCATCCTGGCCCCAGGTAACCACTAATCAACCTTTGAATCTATAGATTTGCTTATTCTGGACATTGCTCTTAGGTGTTTACAGGGCCATAATTTCCAAGCTTCAGAACTGGAGTATGCATCCCAACCAAAAGAGCAATGTCCCTGATAACAAAATAAAACCCCCAAGCCTTAATAATTGTACCAGTCTCCTAGGGCTGCCATAATACCTGACTACACATTTGGTGGATTAAAACAACAGAAATTTATTCTCTCACAGCTCTGGAGGCCAAAAGTCCAAAATCAAGGTTTCATTTAAAGGCGCTAGGGGAGAATCTTTGCTTGCCTCTTCTGACTCCTGGTGGTTCTAGGCGTTCTTGGCTTGTGAGAGCATCATCCAATCTCTGCCTAGGTCTTTAAATGGCCTTCTTCTCTGTGTATCTCTCTGTGTTGTCTCCTCCTCTTCTAAGGACATCAAGCATGGAAATTTATGATCTATCTTAATCCAATATAATCTCATCTTGATCCTTAACTAATTACATCTGCAAAGACCCTGTTTCCAAATAAGGTCACATTCTCAGGTTTGGGAGGGAGACATGAATTTTGGGAGATGCAATTCAACCTACTACAATAATGAATTTCTTTTTGTCCTTTATGTTGGTTTACAAAAATTATATGGTTTTACTCAGTTAGAAAGAGAGAAGTAAGCATGTGTGAATGCGTATAGCTGAAAATAAGTATCTAAGACATCAAAGAGCTAATGGGTGGATAGAGATGCTCCCTTACTTTCAGGTGAGCTTCCAGAAAACCACCAGGAGGCCATTTTATGTGTCTCCTGGCCTTTGAGGAGGCTGACACCTGCCTGGGAAGCTTAAAAGCAGGAGGTTATGGCATTGAACCCAAGAGAGCAGAGCACAAGGAGAGCCTATACTGTGAAAACGAGCCACAGACAGTTTTACTAAGCAGAGCAACCAAGGTTTTATCTGCTTTCCTGTAGATCAACTCCACCCTTGGGAGAGGGTTGGCTGGGAGCCATTTTGAAAGGAACTCTGCCCAAGATGAGTGAATGGACCCAGCAGAAAGTTTGAGGACTAGAAACCCAAGAGCTAATGGTCAAGACATTTGCTCTGTCATAAAACTACATTTGGATCCACACCCCAGTAGGAAACCCACGGAAGTCTCTGAATTATAGTCTGCTGTGCCCGCTGGAGTCCCATTCCTTCACCAGGATACTTACATGAGGCAGACTTAGCCATGCTGGTGGTAGCGGGGGGATGCCAGCTGATAACAGCCGCATGTTGTATGTGATGCCATCTTAAGGACTTATCACACACACACCCATTTTTTTGTGTTTACAGATTAGAAAAAGGCCCAGTTATTAAATGCAAAAATAGAAAATGGTACAATGGTTCTATGTATGAATTCATTATTTGATATTGCTATTGCTATTGGTGATAACTCACACTTTCTCTCTCTTTGCTGAGCGTTCTGAACAAAGCCCATATTTTCTAGTCTTGAATTTGACAACTCTTGGCTTATTTAACGTATCTGGACTATGAAAAAAAATGGAAATGTTGACCTACCACTCTATCTGGGAAGATGGGAGCTCTGTGTTTTTCTTGTTTGGTAGCAATGTGCAGATCCGCATCTGAAAAGTAAGACCAAGTAATGTCAGAAGAAACTTTAAATAAAACAAAGCAAAACACCCAATGTTATGAATCAAAAGCACGAACCAGATTGTGTGAGCAAGACTCCAGATTACATGAATTTTGACACATCTGGAGTGATTCTGTTGTTTCCTGTATAACACCCAACTCAAACACCACTCTTCACCATTCATTATCAGTATCCTCCCAAATGGATAAAAAATTCAAGTTCCTCTAAGTTCTATACACTGTTAATTTATATTACACTTCCACTTTGTATTTGAGAAGCAGATATCTAATCTCATGGGGTAGCATCTATGACCCTAGGATTTAGAATCCATGTCTGATTCTTTTTTTATTGGCTCATACAAGATGCTTATAAATAGCTGATTTATAAGTGAACAAACATATCCCATGTTTTTTTCCTGTTCTTATGATAATGTCAGGTTTTTCTTTCTACTGACATGTGTAGATAATCAGGCTGTGATTGTGGAGCCGTCATATGCCTTATAAGTGTGGTCGCCATATAGTTCATTGACCAAGCTGGAACATTTGTGATGGTGATAGGTTGGCTTTTAATAATTATGCCAGGTCACCAGCTGCAGAATGAGACTGTCCCAAACAAACTGGGGTGTATGGTCAACTTACTTATGGGCCATGTAGTCTGGAAAGGAGATGGTCCATGACATTTTGGAGACAAAAGGAAGCAAAGACACTCAACTGTTTCCTTCCTGGTAGATGTGCCTGTGGGCTGCCTGTAGCTCAGCAGAGGAGGAGGCCAAGGGAGTAAATTACACTTAGGCAGATAGACAGTATCACAACTGTCTAGTCTACCACCCATCACCTCTGTGGCAGTCTGTCGTTTTTTTCAGAGGCTGCCAAAGAGCCTGTGGCACCCAGGACACATGGCAAGTGCCATCCAGACAGAGTCCAGGAAGATAATCCCAAGGCAGTGCCCTCTCTGGCCTTTTTCCTTCTCTTTCTCAGGATGTTGGGGAAAGGTCAGAGCTCGAATCTGGCCTGTGGAGTAATAATGCAACTCTAGACAGAATGACTGGGGTAAATGATTAAAGCTGTAAGGAGACATGACTTCCTGGCCAGTAGAGGGAAGATCCATGCACAGTAAATTCTGTGTAGTTCATTCAGTAAGTACAATTCATGAGCATAAAGGGCAGCGTGATCTCATTAAGATGAATAAATACTCGTTGTGTCGTCTAATTGAGATGAAAAACACAATGAATGTTGAGTCACTGATTTTGTGGTCAAATTACCAGTAGCAACATTAACACCATCGTCGGGTGTCAATACTCTTATGGGGTGAATTTGAATAATATTTCATGTCCCTGTGTGTTTTACAGCTCGTGAAGTGTTACCCTGCAGCTGATCTCGTTCAGTTCTTTAAAGTCATTGTAATCCAAGCGTATTTTGTTTAGGCTGATAAAACTGTCATCAAAATAAGTTCTCCCTTTTATTCATCGACAACTTCATGTTGCTAAACAATGATAAACTTCTAAAATATCTGACTGCTTCATATAAGAGTCCTGGTGATGGAAAGGGACTCCATAGGACACAAGCAAAAAACAGCATAATTCTTTCCCTCCACGAGCCCTTCAGAGCCACTCGGTGGGCTGTCTTCTCTGTCCCTGGATAAGTCTCAGGCAAATTTCCCAAGGAATACAACTCGGGATAGAATCTGGTTGCACGTAAAGCAAACCCTTCGCTACCTTTTCTGACGTTATTAAGAAGCCAACAAACTTACAGAATGGCAAAACACTTTAAATATATCTTTGAAAACTTGGCCATCCATCATTTTGGTATATATGGTGATTGCAAGTGTTACTTAAATTATATCATTTGACATATTTTTTTTAAGTGACAGGTTTTTTTTTTAGTTTATGGTTTTACTTTCTGAACTGTGATGATATGTCCACCACATTCTACCCATTCAGAGTTTATCTTAAATCAGGAAGAATTATGAGAAGAAATAAACAGCTCTTTGCTTGATTTATGATTTCAATGTAAAAAATATTTCCCATGACATGAATGAATGGCAGAGGTTAATATTATGATTATTGTAAGGACCATGACTCAGTTGACCCTGGAATTAGATTTCATTTGCCAGATAGCATGTTCGAGGCTGGATTTTTCATGATGCCAACCAATCTGGCCCATCATGTTTTCCTGAACTGGCGAGCTGCTTTGGCATTTGGCAGGTTGGCCTAAAAGGGCATTGTCCACCCAAGGTCCAGCCCATCAGAGGTGTGACATTACATGCTTCCCAGAGGGTACATCCTGGGGCCGCTTTGCAACTCTGCTGGCAGCACAGGAACTTCCCGTCCACGAAGAACCCACTGTGGTACTTGATCAGCAGATGGGGGTTGCCCCTTATCTCTGGGGAGCAGGCAGGAAAAAAGCACGATGTGAGCAAACATTGGCCCAAGAGAAGAAACACATTCCATCAACGCTGTTATCATAAAATAATGAAAATCTCATTTTGCCAGCAACCAGGGTAAAAGCAAATGTTTCCCAAAGGATATGTTTTTCACTCAGAAGTTACAAAGCCAAAAAGGAAAGTCTAACCATGTTTATAGTGAGAACAGCACAATAAGTTTTATCAATCTGAAAAAAAAACTACTAGAAAATACATATACAAGTTAGCTTGGTTTTAGAATTTTACAGTAGGACTAGAGGACTAGATCTTAGCAAGAAGAAAAGAAGGTTCTAATAAACATACACTCCCCCTGCCTTTTTTGGGAAATATTTCAAATGTACAGAAAAGTTGCAAGAATAGTGCAATGAATTTCCATGTACCCTTCACCCAGATTCACTGATTTTTAACTGTTTGCCATATTTGTTTTATTACTTTCTCTGTACATGCATATTATTATTTAAAATTTTTACTATTATTACATTTCATTTAACCATTTGAGAGTAAGTTGTGGATATCATGACCTAAATAATGTCACCCATAAATCTTTCAGCATGTAACTTCTGTTAACAGGGACATTTTCTTATATAACCATGATACAATGAGCCAATTCAAGAAATTTAACACTGATACCATACTACTACTTAATATATATTCCGTATTAAAATTTTTTCACTTGTTCTAATAATACTCTTTATAATCATTCACTGTTTCTGATCGAGGATCCAATCAAGAATCACATATGGCATTTAGTTATCTGGCTTTCCTTGATCTAGAACAGTTCCTTGTCCCTTCTCTGTCTTTCATGACTTTTGACCTGTTTACACTAAGGAATGAATGGTTTCTAGAGCTACTTTTCTAGGCATATGTGTATATTTTTACAGGATAATGTTTTATTTTTTTCAGCTCTCTTACTTTATTATTTGGGGGGGAGGTAATTAGGCTTATTTAATTTATTATTTTTTAATGGAGGTACAGGGATTGAACCCAGGGCTTTATGCATGCTAAGCATGCTCTACCACTGAGCTATGCCCTCCCCCCTCCCTAGGCACATGTGTATACTTTTTAGAAACCATGCTAGTAGGACAATGTTGAATCCAAATAAGTGAAATTCTAATATTGAAGTGTAATACTGTGTCTACAACAAATTAGCCTCTCTTGAAATCCAACAGAGAAACCGACAAGGTCTTCGTAGAGAATAGTTCAAGAAGAGCCTCTTGGAGGGGAGGGCTGACTCTATGTGTGGCTTAAACTCTTTACTTCTACTTCTTGATTGTCTATTCATCTTGAGGACTCCTTGTTTTGTTCCCAGGAGAACTCTGCTCCCCCTTTACAACCCTGACTCAAGGAAGTGTTTTGAGTCACTGGGAGGAAATGAGATAATACATGTAAAGCATCCAGCACAGTGTTTGCTCCGAGTAGGTGATCAGTGAACAGGGGGCTTTCATGATACCATTCCCTTAGTTTTAAATCAACTCAGCTTGGCTGAAAATGCTGGCATAAAAACTTTACTAAATATTAATGGAAATGAAAGGGAAATTATTACAGAAGTCAGAAGAAGCAAAAGGAGTTAAGTTTACAAAACACTGCTTTCTGACCTTGGTCCTAAGTGGTCATTGCAATTCCTTGGACACAGGACTTGCCTTCCTGCTCTCTAAGCTCCTGGTCTCCACATACCAGGATTCCAGTTATTTCCTACTATGTGGGTTTAGTTTCCTGGGTAACTAATTCTTTTCCAGCCAAGTGCAAAAGTCCACCTTGCAACACTCCCACCATCTGTTAATATGTGTATACCACTTTAGATACTTTCTCTCACTTATGCCGTCTCACTTAACCTTGTCAATAACCTTGGGATAGCTATTATTGTTATGACTCTAACAGACTTAGGTAAACTCAGGTGCAGAGATCGTGTAACTTGCTCAAGCTCAAAATCTAGTCAAAAGCATATTTGAGACTCAGCCCCAAGCTTTTGTTGCTATATTCCAATGCACAGATGCCAGCTTCTCTGACAAACCCCCTTCAATTTTAATTTTTGGAAGGAAGGGTACACTTTATTCACATCTGGGTAGCTGAACTCGGAGCCATGGTGGCTGACACTCCTTGAGTCCCCTCGAAATCTGCCCATACCTGGTGTAGGTTACCACCTGGAAAATTCTATGTCTCCAATGTTCACCTCGGTTTACAATGCCTGAGCCAAATAATAGACACAAAAACACGGGGACCAGGGAAGGGTCATTCTAGCAGAGTAAAACTTCATAGGCAAGGAGATTTGAATGAGGGAACCTTTTTGTTTTCCTGTAGCAGGTTGGTTGGCCAGTCTGACAGCTTATCTCACCCACCTCTCTCTTGCTATCTGGCAGCATAGAGGCTGGAAAAGCCAGATGCTGTCTTCCAGCTTCATTTACACATAGAAATGGCCATGAGATGCAGTTCTGGCCAATGAGACACCAATAAAAGTTTGCAGAGGGGCTTCTGGGAAAACTCAAAGTCTTCCTGAGTGCCTCTAAGGGTGGCAGAGCAGAAATCTAGCAGGAGCCAGGGTCCCTGCCGACTTCATTGAGCTTCTGTACTAGTCCTGGGCTTTCTTCCTACTGGACTTGTAAGAGAAACAAACATGTATTTGTTTCAGCAACTGTTTGGTATCTTTTTACCGGCGTCCTGAAGCATTACTAACTGATACAAATGGCTTCCTGTGATTACGGCAGCCCTAGCGATCGGGTCTCTCTGCAGTTTATGAGGGGCTAAGAGACTCACTTCTGCTTCTCTCTCTGCTCTCCTTTTATCTTCCATATACCTCCACATGAGCTTCCCAAACCTGCCTACCATATATCATTCCAGAAAGATCCACAAAGAACCTTAGTGCATGACAAATAGCTGCACACAAGAAGTGTCTCCATAGCAACTGCCCCTGGCAAATCCCCTCAAAGGAGGCTGAATGGGAAGCAGCATCTTAGAGCTCCTCCTGGAGGCCCCACTATAACACAGTGGCGCATGTTTGTGTGTTGGACACTAGTACATTTATGAATCACTCATCTGTGGCTCGTGACTGCTCTAGGAAAAAGAGAAATGTGATCTCCCATTTTACAGGTCAGGAAACTGAGACCCAGAGATGTTAGATAGTTTTATTAGATGACACAGCAAAGCAGGACTTGAACGCAGTTTTGTCTGACTCTAAGAAGGATGCCCATCTCACTTCAACAAGCTGGTGGCAGGTAAAGTGAGGCTATTCTCCTCCTTGGACTACTTGACTGTCCTACAGAATAGGTTGCTAAACCCTTTCATACAAAGGGAAAATTACACCCCTTGTGCAAAAAAGGATGTATTTGCATCAAAATAGAGTAGGTGGTTGTCTAAGTGTGTAATTTGAGGTGTAGTGAGAAAGAGCCTGAGTCTAAAACTTAAATAAAATAAAATAACATCTTCCCCCATCTGGGAGCTTAATATCTGAAATTCCACCAGTAGAGTCACTCATCTGAGTTAACTATTGTCCTCACACCGCTACCCACCTTTACAGTAAAAATATCATAGGGAGAAACATCATAATGCTAAATTGCTAATTCTCTCTTTTACCAAAAGTTGCTACCATAGCAGCCTAGGAATCACTGAATGAAAGTTTCATTAAATCCCCAGTTTTGCCTAGCATTTATACTGTACTATTTAAAATTTTTAGTTTGGGTAATTGAATTATGTATTCTCTATAACTGTGTACATGACATTGGCCATGTCTCTTTAACTTCACTTATCTGAAAAATGGATAATAGTATTACCCGTTGCCATAGAGCTGTCCAAAGGATTAGCTAAGAAAATGTTTTACCACTGCTTGACACAGGAGCTGGCAAATGATAAGTGCTTAGTAAGTATTAGATATAATTTTCTGTAAATACCCAAACTACAGTAGCTACAGGATCTGACATAGCCCCATGAGGACCTAGACTTTGCTCTGATAAAGGCGAGCACAGTGGGCGGAGAGCAGGTGGCCTGGCTTCCTCCTAGCTACTGGAAAGGCACAATAGCCAGCTCTATGCAGGGCAGGGAAGGGAATCTGATCCCCAGGCTTCCTCTAAGTAACAATGAGAATGCAAAACGAGGATGAGCACAGCACATTCTCTGAGGCTGGTAGGAAAATCAACAGATTCTCTTTTGGCATTAGGCCCTTTTATTGCCATATCTTTCCTCCACCAAGCCTCAAAAGAGCTCAGTCAATGACTCCCTTTATGACTTTTTAAAAAAATTACCTTTCTGTAATGCTTTCAACCACTGACTTCGGCTCTCTTCATTTGATGCATACACATAGAGAAGCCCATCTTTATAGACAATCTGGAAAGGAAAAGATTTGGTGCATTTAGGTATAATTGCGTTATAGTTCACTCTGGTGCAACTACAAATTTTCTGTTATCCAGAAGAAATATTGCGTTTGCTTATATAATATGCATTAGCCCTGGAATTAGATTTTTTTAATCTAGTTATTTTTATCCTCCACCCCTCAGTTTATTTTCTCCCAGACACCTCTACACTTTGGAAAATCACAGCAACGATGCATCTGACAGCAGTAAACATTGAGGTCTCAGCAGGAACGCCCTGGACCATGGAGAATTACAAAAGTGTAAAATATTAGACATTACAGTTGTCTTAGTGTTCTGGTCCATCCACCTTCCCAGTTCATGACTCTATAGCCCACTGGAAAATGTTTATCTGCTCTATTCTTGAAAATATCTTCAGAAATGGAATGTCCTTTACTTTTGCTCTGCCATCCTTGCCAATTTCCATTCATTCTGATCACTATATAGCTCATACTTATATTGAGTAAAAACATGTTTCCCTGTTACTTCAGTCCCTTGGGTCATGTCCCACCCCAGGGATCCCCAGCATAAATCATTTTCTATTCCTTAAGACACTTGGTGAAATGTTTGAACATTACAAAGTCTTCCCCAGATCCTTCTCAAGTTTATTCAGCTTTTGTGGGTAAACAGTACAGACCATTTATTAAATACCTACTAGTATTGGGGCTCTATCCCAGATAATTTAAAATTTTAATTCTATTTCAACTCTACAAAAATATATGACTATGCCCACTTTGCAAATGAAGAAACAAACCCAGAGAGAGATTGAGAATGTTGCCTATGGTTACAGAAATATAAGCAATGGGGCTAGGAGCTCCAAAGCCTGTGTTCTTTGGAGTATTCCATGCCTCTGTGATACAAATTTGAAGCATCTTCCATGAGCACATGCTCCCCTCTTTTCTTCCAACTGGGTAGTGTTTTTTCTTTTAAGTGAGAAGTATGGATTGTTTACCGACTAGATAATTTTTTTTAATTGAAGTATACTCAATTATTGAGTATACAAGTATACTCAAGTATACAATTATACTCAATTTAATTGAAGTATACAGTATGTCAATTTCTGGTGTACAGCATGTTTCACTGACTAGATTTTATTTTATTTCATTTTTGTCCATTGTTCCCTCATAGTAGCAGAGGGTAGCCTGACCATTGGAAGGACAGTTCTTCTGTCTTTAGATCAGAAATGTAAGTATTCGTGATATAATAAAAGTAGGGTATGTGTTAGCGCAAGCCACTTCCCAGGGGTACTGCAGGCACATTCTCCATAGTAGGCCATTGTTTGAAGTACTTTAGGGTAAAATTCAAACTCTTTAGTGTGTGGTGCAAAGGTGTTCACGATGTGGCCCCGCCCACCTCTCCTGGCTCATCCTTCACTCTTTCACTGGACTGCTTACTTCTAAGCACTACCTGGATCTCTCCAAACATGCCATTCTGTTTCACCTACCAGTGCCTTAACATTTACTGTTTCTTTGGTTTTGCTGCCTTTTCTGTTTTTGCTGGGCTCACCCCCACTTGTCCTTCCTAACCTGAGTGTCACCTCCAACAGGAAATCTCCCTGACCTCCTGGAGTGAGGAGTGAAGCTCTTGCCTTCTGGGTCACCATGGCTACTCTGCCACCTTCATCTTAACACCCACCCTCACTGCATTATAATGACCTGTAAATGCCTTGGGGACTGGGATGGCATTTTATTCCTTACAGTGTGTTCAGTAACTTGTGGCAGATTGGAAATGCTCTGCAGTGTTTGATGAAAGAGATCTTCAGACCCCAAGGCAAGTCAGGCCACTGAGACTTACCTACTCATCTTTCTTTCTCTCCCTCTAGGGAAAGCAGATTGGTGGATAGAATTTTAGCAAATGGCCCAACTCCCATCTGGGGATGCTCCAAACTCAGAGACTGGTTGAGAATGCTGTCTGTGGTTACACAAATATAAGCACGTGCCATTGTCTTAATAATTTTGTAACATCTTTATTTATCGCCAAAATACTGAGTTCATAATAGAAAATATCAAAAGAAGAGCCATCCATCTAATGAACTGTTGTCCCGCCACTTACCTGAAATGGGTACTGTCTCTCCACAGGGGTCTGCTCCTCAAGATTTACTTTCTCCACACATCTGATTTTCTTAATCTCAATTGATCCTTTTCTGCTGCCTCTTTTCTGAATTAAAAAAAAACATATATATAAGATGCCTCACGTGATATATAGTGGTGCATGAGGAAAAGCATAACATTAAAGTTGTGCTTAGGAAGGAGATTGGGAGATGGGATGGGCATGTGAGACTCACTCCAATTATTCCATACTAGTCAAAATCCAGTGATGACCGAATATGTCTTTCAAGTGTGGACACAAACTTAAACTCCTCCAAAAGCAAATCTTTAAGCAGCACAGTAATTTTATTTGACAATCTTGAAACCCATTTTAAATCACCTGCCATCGATTAATCTATTCAGGAAAATTAACGTTTAACTCCACAAAGCATCTTCATTTAGTTTCAATTTTATGACAGTATTTCAGTATTTCTACCGTGATAGAATTCTGATCTGTATAGAAAGAGTCTTATGTCCAGCATTTGTTAAGGCAGGGCTTCTCATCTTCAGGACTATTTGGGGCTAGATCATTCTTTGTGGTTGGCGCTGTCCTGGGCACTGTAGGATGTTCAGCCTGCCTGGCCTCCACCCACTAGATGCCAGGAGCAAAGTGTCCCCTTCCCCCACTGATGACAACCAAAAGTGTCCCCAGCCATTGTCAGATGTCCTTTGAGGGGCAAAATCACCCTCAGTTGAGAACCAGTGTTTTAAAGTTAAAACTTGCCTTAGTAAAGTTCACCAATGCTTTAAAATCCTCTATCTTGAATTAATTATAACTTGGTTAACAATGTAATAAGTGAGTGCAAGTTGATCTTTACTGTGCAAGCTAAGAAACCTGATGTTTCATTATATTAAGCACTTTGTAGAGACTTACAAAAAGCAAGTAGTATAAAAAACAATGGAATAAATAAGGTCTCACCATTTTGTCATATTCATAGTAGGAGAGGTTTGTTTTGGTCAAAACAAAAAGGCGCTCTTTGTAATTACTGGGCGACATTTTCTTCTTTTGCTGTGACCTTTTGAGAAGAAGTTCTTCTAGAATGGATTTTGTGTCCATATTGTCGTCCTAAACAAAATCAAATAATGAAAATGAATGTTTGCAGCATCTAGCTAGTTTCTCTTTTAGCTTTCATCATCTTTTTTTTTTTTTTTGACAAAGGTACTGGGGATTGAACCTAGGACCTCGTGCATGCTAAGTACGCATTCTAACACTGAGCTAAACCTCCCCACTGGCTTTCATCATTTTTATTCAATTATTTCATTCAGGGATAATAGATATAATTTTTGAAAATTAGATTTAGCAACATAGAGGAAAATTTAATGAAGCAGGCTCTTAAATACACACATACCTGCACTTTTTCCCCTCACTGCCTTGGCTTTCACATGTAGAAATATGTTGATTTTTGTAGTATTTTATGCATTGTACTCATCTCCCACTTTGGATCATAAATTCACCGTCTTCACATTACCTTCAGACCACCATATCAAAATTCTCCTTATGCCTTAAGCAATCTATGGACATTTGAACTCCAGACAGTTCCCCATGTCTGAAGTAACTGATCAACTGAAATTTCTCTCCATTAATGTGGCCAATTGCTGGACCAAACTATCCAAACCACTGTGAGACTCTGATATTGTAGTGAATGACCGCCCGCCCCAACCCTGAGCATGACCCAATCTTTAACATAAAGGACATGGTTTATAATTTTCAATATTTCTGAGAAGAAAACATTTTCAAAACCTATCAAAAGAGATTTAAAAGAACTGGAAGAATTGGTACTTCATAAAAAATACTCTGTCTTTTTCTTCCAAAACCTCATAAAACATTAAAAGTTAAGCTGTAAGGGGAAGGGGAGGGGGGATAAATTAGGAGTTCAGGATTAACAGATACACACTAATATGTATACAAGAGATAAACAACAAGGTCCTACTGTATAGAACAGGGAACTACATTCAATATCTTGCAGTAACCTATAATGAAAAAGAATGTATATATATATATCTATAACTGAATCACTTTGCTGTACAGCAGAAACTAACACAACATTGTAAATCAACTATGCTTCAATTTAAAAAAAGTTAAGCTATTTCTGGAAAATAAATGCTTTCATTTTCTAGTTCTACTAAGACTCTTGCTTCAACCCTCTGATATCGGGTCTGGTAATGAAAAGTAATGTTAAGCGATAGGCCGCAAGAGATAAACTTCCTTATGTCGTTCTTGGCTTTGTGAAGTCACATGGTTGTTAGCAGTCAGATGCCCAATAATTACCATCTTCCTTTGTTTATTGATAATCCGAAGGTAATTAATTTTACTCACCTTAAATTCAATAGAGCTGAAGTGTGCTTGTAGGTCTTTAACTCTCAAGCTCTAGGCAAAAAGTCACTGCTCTGAGGCACCATCACTCATATTCCCTCTTACTATGCCAGGGCTGTGCATTAAAAAGAAGATATTTGCATTCTGTGTATCACTTGATCAGGAAGCAGACACATAAGCATTGCTCTGTGTGGATGGAAGCTGCTGTCAATTGAACGTGTCCAATCACTAACTCACTTCTCAGTGGCCCAGGTGTAGGATGGGCCTACCGTGATAGGGGAGCGGAAGAAAGCGAGACTCAGAAACACAACTTGGTATTAAATAAACCATGGGCAGGCCCACCAGCTTCCCTCCTGCCACAGAATATAACACCCTCAAAATGGGAATCAAGAAAATCAGCTTTTATTATTTATTTTCATAGCTCAGGAAACTATTCATCTCTCAAATGTTCTCCAAGGACATTGTTTATCTCCTAGGGAGAAGTGGTAAAAATCTTATTCATCAAATATAATATAAAGTCTCAGCCACTTTTTACTTCAAATGGTATTTTATCTGGGGAAAAAGGCATAATTCCTTTGTGAAAGTAGATGAGGTTTTTGTTTGTTTGTTTGTTGTTTTTTGAGCACAATGAGTGCTCTTCTCTGTTTTCTTTGCCCTGGACTCAAAGATGAGGCGGAGATTAGGGTGTATAGTAAACCCAGCAGGACCTGGGAAGGCAGGGAGCATGAGGATGTCTCAAAACTATGGAGGGTCTACTTTGTGGGAGTTAAAGTCCCCTTTGGGGGAGCCATATCACACTAGGCAAAGGTGTAGGGAACTTTTGCCTTTTAAATGTCTACATTAAAAAAATTTACTAACAAAGCAAAAATAGAACACTATGAAAACTCTTGTCAAATGTCTTTTATATCCACAACTAACAATGTACTCCTCAAAGCAGAGTGGTAGTTAAATAGGTCTGGTTTAATTGAATAGAAAATTTACTTTCCAAATTTTTTCAGATATTTAATCAGTTTGTAACATTAAGAGCACTGTTTAAAAAATACAAATCCCAGTGTCCAAGGCAGTGCACGATAAAATGCATGCTTTTCTGTTTATAGAACTTTCACATTCATCACATGAAAGGTGATTTCTTGGGGAAAATTAAAAATTAATTTTATCTAAAAATTTTTGTCTAAAAAATTAATATGATGAGCCACAGAAATCAATGACAAATGAAATTCACAAAGTCGCTTCTGTATATTAAAGGGAAAAAGGACATTGACTAGAAAGGAAGGTGCCAAGTCCTCAAGCACATTTTCTAATCAATCTCCAAGAGTTTATACACATTGCTGCAGCTGATGAAATATAACTTGTCAAATTTCAACAAAATTGTTAATTCCAAATCCTGCCTTTTGTGAATTTTTTGGCTTTCATTTTTTTTTAATTGAAGTGTAGTTGACTTACAATGCTGTGTTAGTTTCTAGTGTACAGCATAGTGATTCACTTATACATATATATTATTTTTCATATTTTTCATCATAGGTTATTACAGGCTATTGAATATAGTTCCCTGTGTTACACAGTAGGATCTTGTTGTTTATCTACTTTATATATAGTAGTTAGTATCTGCAAATCCCAAACTCATAGTCTATCCCTCCCTTCCCACCCCTTCCCAACTTTGGTAACCCTAAGTTTGTTTTCTGTCTGTGAGTCTGTTTCTATTTGGTAAATAAGTTCATTTGCATCATTTTTTAGATTCCACATATAAGTGATATCATATGATTCCTTTTAAAAATCGTATGTGATATATGTTTATTCACCAAAACCAAGAACTACAGACAAGTGAAAGAAAAAAACTGTTAACATTTTGGTGAACATACCTCTAGATTTTTTTCAAATTACACGTGCAACTGTTTATTTTCACACACACAGAAGAGTTCACGTGCTGTGCATATGTGTTGGGAATCGGTTGCTCTCATGTAACAAACACCTGGGGTCACCTGTCTTTGAAGTTCTTCAAAGTTCCATTCCCTAATCTGGGCTCTGGAGCACCCTAAGGAACTTAAAGATCCCCGTTTTGACAACTCACGCTTTTGTCATCTCCAGATCAGTTTCTTCTAAGACAATACCTGGTTCCTGCTCAAATTTCGACCTGCCTTTCTGCTTCTGTTTGCTTCTGTCCCCACTGTGTACTTCTCTCTTCTCCTAGATTAGCCTCAATTCTGAACTGAAAGCATTTCTGTGGTCCCCCTTGGTGTATTGGAGGTGATTATTGGTGAGGACTAATTTTTAGAAATGTAACATTCTCCTCTCTTGTATTAGGACAATAAGTCAGCAGGACTGTGGTCCCACTTGCCTGTCCAAAGACAAGCCACTTGGCTCTGTCTACCCGTATTTAAGGGGAAATTCAGTTGGGGAGATTTTTTAAAAAACTAAACAAAATAAAATTAGATCCTAACTCTAGAGACCAGAAATCTATTTCCATAGAGAAGCTGATGGGATTTGGTTGGACACTCATATATCACCACCTACACAGAATAGACACATCCATTTGCTTACCAAATAGCCCAGGCTGCCTATTTCCATAAGCACATGAAACTAGAAGGACATTAAAGTGCAAGGGAGGCAAAAAAAAAACCTGGCAGAAACCAATATAGTATTTTCTATAAGGAAGTCAGTAGCCATGGTGTCATCTATAACATATATGAACCGTGCTTGTGGAATTAACAAGACTTGGAATCACTATGGTTATTTAGTAGTTATAAGGAAATGATATCATGACAATAAGGAGTTCAAATCTGCAGATCTATTCAGCACACTTGATTTTGAGCCTACAGTGTGCCCTGAGTGACACCTAATGGGTTTGAGAGGTAGATTTCATGACTAATTAATATGCAAGGTTGCTGTGGGGCGGTGAACTCAGAAGCCTTGGAGAAGTTTGCAGGTCCGTCACTTGTCAGCTGTGTCACCCCAACCAAGCCCCTTCCCTGCTGTAAACTTGACTTTTCTCATCTTTAAAATGAGGTGAGCAGCAGCTCTTTCATGTGATGTGACTTAAATGAGAAATCTTTTGTGAAAAATACTGGGCATACTATGGATACCCATAATTTTTTTTTATGATTAAAAAAGAAAAAAGTGGAAACAACTCAAGTGCTAGAGAGAAGTCCATTCTCTTTGCTATGAAAGGCCTGAGGAAGGAAAAGTTATGTTTTTCTTAAGATAATTGAGAAAGATGTTATGGAAGGAAGGGATTTAAAATTGGCCCTTGGAAGATATGAGTGACTGTGGTGATAATGGTCCTAGCTAATGTTTAAGGACGGCTCACCCAGTGCCAGGTGCTCTTTAAAGCACCTTAAAAATGTGCATTTGTTTACTGCTCACAATTACCCTATCGGGTAAGCCATGAACAGTCCCATCCTATGGGGTAAGTTGTAGCAAAGCCCCCCATGGGGTAGGTTGCAGCATCATTCCTGGCTTATAGCTGGTGCCACTGCTGTAGATAAGTAAATCACCCAGGCCACACTGCTAGTGTGGTGGAGGTGGGGTTTGAATCCAGGCTGTCTAACTCCACAGCCCATATTCTTGATCACATTACTGGTACTAGGAAAGGACATGCCAGCGGTGTAGCCCTTCTAATCAGAGAAGGCCCTAATCTAAATGTAGGAAGGCAGCTGCAGGGTATCAAAGCTGGTAGGAAACCTACAAGTCATTTTAGAGTCGCAATACTGAGTCCCAGCAACCTAGGTGACTTAGCCAGAGTCACCAAGCAGTGACCTGGCAGACACAGCCCAGGGAGCCAGATTACTGGTGTCCTGCTTGGGGCACTGCCCACACTGTCATGGCCATAAATACCAAGTGAGATCTATGTGTTCAGCTAAATGTCTGATAGCCTTGCTAAAGCATGCTGTCTGGTAGAAGGAGGCATAAATTTGAGTCTTACCAGACCCACGTAAGGGACCAAAGGCTTTATTAGAAATACCAGAAAGATATGACCTGTAAATAATCTTTCAGCAGGAACCTCCTGCACAGTGTTAAATAGCAAAACTCTAGCCTACATTTTGAATATAGGTAAGATCATACAACCTCCGAAGTTGGAATAAATTCCAAGTGGTGCAGAAGGGGAGCAAGAAGCAGGAAAGGAAGGAAGAAAGGATTGTATAGTGAAAGGGGCCCATTGGATGGTTCCTGCAGCCAAAATGCATATTTACTGACTGGCTCAGTATGGTGCCTTTAAAGCTTTATTTTTTTAGAATTGAGAGATGGGAGTAGCAATTCCTTACCCCTTTATTTGATTTAGTGATCCTCCCTTACTTTACATGTCATTTACCTAAACATTTTGAGAGGTGTCAAAATATTAAAAAAAAATACATGTTTTGCGCTGGCAGGGGAAGGGGGAGGGCAGTGGAGGGGCGAGGGCTGGAAGGAAAGGGAAGACGCCCCCACTGCGGACTGGGATGGGGGCTCCAAAAGCCAAATGGTGAACCTGTGACCAACTTGATCTTCAAATATTCGCCCAAGGCCAGGCCTGCTTATCTTCCTGCTAAATACGTGAACAAAATATGATGGTGAGTTAAACAGGAACCAAAAATTTAACTCAGAATCAGTCAAGGTGGTTCAAAAATAAAACTCTTAAGAGGCTAGCCAAAGACAAATACCAAATACTCCACAGAACCGGACAAATCCCCATTTCACAGGGCATTCTGCAGGAGAAAGAAAGTTAGAGTTGGTCTTGACATAATGTGGACAGAAATCCTTTAACACTGACCCTTGAATTCAGCATTTTGAAACACCATACCATGGTTCCTCCAAACGGAATTTATGAAAACCAGATACTTTAGGAGCCATTTTGGCACAAAGAAAGCGAGAATGCCAATGCCATTCCTGTTGGAGCTAAAATTTGCTTTAGTTGTGAAATTCATCTTCGGTGCCTCATAGAGCTTTGCGAAGCCCTTCCTTCTTTTCAGGGACCTCTTCCCCTCTGCCCCCTCCCCTCTGCCCAGGGCACTTTCCTTAGGAGAAAAGCCAGAAGTAATCAATCCACATCCTAATACCTCATGCTGAGTTACTTTAACACATAACACTGCTAAGATCGTACAGGTTGGTGTGGACAGAAGCACCAATGGTGGGCTCAAATCCATGCTCTGTCTCTATGCACTGCAGCATGTTACTTAACCCTGTGAAACAGCTTCCCCATCTGTAAAGGGGGTAAAACAGTAACCACCTCAAAAGGTTATGAGGAGAAAATGGTGGTACGTTGCCTAGCACCCTAGTAGATATTCCAGAAACCTGTCCTCCTTCCCCTCGTCACTCCGTAGGCAATGTTTTTTAAAAGACCATAGCAAAGTTAAAAAACTGAAGCCAGCAAGATGCCCTCAATATAAAATTTCAGTCCTCAGCCCCTTCCCCCAGCTCCTGGGGAGAGGAGGTAGTGGGAGGCGGAGCCGCCCCACGCCTTCTCTAGTCAACAAGCACCTGCTCTCTAGGTCTGTTACAAGCTCTCAATCCTGGGACTGGTTACCTTAGAATCTGGCTGACTGTGTATTTGTGCCAGCGGGCTTCTAACAAATCAATACATGGACGTTACTCAAAGTATGGTCCATGGACAGGCAGTATCAGCATCCCCTGGGAGCTGTGTAGAAATGCAGACTCTCAGTCCCCCCCCCCAGACTTAGTGCATTGAAATCTGCCTTTTAGCGAGATCCCTGGGTGATTTATGTGCACATGAGAGTTTGAACAGCATGGACCTAGACCACATTCTAGTTGTATTACTTTTTAAACCCGATATAACCATCACGGTCCACACGAACTTTTAAAATGATATGGGTCTGGCTGCCACTGTAAGGTTCACCCCCTCCCATCTTTCTATCTCCATTGAAAATCCCTAAGTCCCTGATTTAGGGAGACTTCAGGAAGCTAAGAACAAATATTCGTAGCTAAAATAACCTCATAAAATTCACATAAACAAAAGAAGGTATGACTAACATTTCTTTGTCTTTTCAGAAGCAGTTAGGAAGCCAGTATGAAAAGCCACGGAAGGCCTAAAGAACAGAATGGAGAAACTCAGAAGAGGAAAGGACAAAAAGCTACATCAAGTTGATGGTGGTGTACACACAACCTGGCAGCTTCCCTGAACGGAATTTACAGTGAACGATAGCAGGCCCCCAGATGACGTGGCCCCACCCAGAGTCCTCCGAGGAGCCCCAGCAGTTTCACATTCATAGTTTTGCAGTCTTTTTCTTAAAGCGCCCCCCTCCCCATTTGGTGACTCCAGGCTCTACGACATCCAGATCCGAACCCGTTTTCCTGTGGGACATGACACTGCGCAGCCACCTGCCACTTACACGCACCATTTTGGCCGGTTCTGCTGGCCGTCCACCGCGGTGAGGTTGAGATGCCTCTTGCAGGAACTCGGCCCCAGCCGTCCTCCTTCCAGCAGCAACAAATCGTCTCACATTTTCCCAGCTGCTGGGTCAGAAATGGCTACATTACTCAGTGCCCCCCAAACGTTTATTGTCCTGCAAGGCCTTACACAATCCCACAGGAAACCGCGCTCAACACTTAGCCAATACTTGTTGTCCTGATTGAGCGCAACAAAAACGGAGACAAAAGCATATTTCATAAAGGTTCCAACTTTGATAACTCCATCTCCTGCTTTTCCCAGGCAGCTCTCGGGTACATGTGATAACCTGTCTTTGTTTAGAGAGCTTTACGCTGGAAAGGACAAGAAAATATCTCGGCCAAACCCTGCTTATGACGCTGACTTCTCTCACACGAGTCAGGAAACCATGAGGTAACGCCAAAGGGCGCGGAGAATAAGCAATGAAAACTTCAACTCACCACTAGACAAAGGGAGGCCAGAGAATATATAAGAGAGAAGGACAGTTCATATGATGAAAAAGGAGCATGTTTCCATAGCTTCAGTTATTAAGAAATCCAGAAATGGAAAAGAGATGGGTTTGGCTAGTGGACCATGCACCAAGATTGCAATAAAAGAACGTAATTATCACTTGACTGATTTATGATTATCACTATAATGATTTACGATAACATTGCAACTTTTCATTTTATTTTAAAAAATTTTAATTGAAGTATAGTTGATGTACAATGTGTTAGTTTCAGGTGTACAGCAAAGTGATTCAGATATATATATATGCATATGTATATATATTCTTTTTCAGATTTTTTTCCATTATAGATAATTACAAGATATTGAATAGACTTCCCTGTGCTGTACAGGACGTCCTTCTTGTTTATCTCTTTTACATATAGTAGTGTGTATCTGTTAATTCCAAATTCCTAATTTATCCCTCCTCCCCCTTTCCCCTTTGGTAACCATAAGTTTGTCTGTGAGTCACAACATCACAACTTTTGGCTTTACTCATTCTTCTGATTTACAACATCTTCTCTGGTGCACACTGGTTGTATGTAATATGTAATAAATCTAATGACTTATTTTAGGCTAAGCTATGGACAGCTGAGAAAATTAATCATTCTTTTGGCATGCGTTGACACACTGTATTAGCTTATAAAGTGTTGGCTACTTCTTTATGAAATATGATCAGTTTACAATGTGTCAATTTCTGGTGTACAGCATAATGTTTCAGTCATACATATACATATATATTCGTTTTCATATTCTTTTTCATTATAGGTTACTACAAGATATTGAATATAGTTCCCTGTGTTATACAGAAGAAACTTGTTTATTTGTTTTTATATATAGTAGTTAGTACTTGCAAGTCTCGAACTCTCAATTTATCTCTTCCCACCCCCTTTCTCCCTGGTAACCATAAGTTTGTTTTCTATGTCTGTGAGTCTATTTCTGTTTTGTAGATAAGTTCATTTGTGTCTTCTTCTTCTTTTTATTCTTTTTTAGATTCCACATATGAGTAATATCATATTGTATTTTTCTTTCTTTTTCTGGCTTTCTTCACTTAGAATGATGATCTCCAGGTCCATCCACATTGCTGTAAATGGCATTATTTTATTCTTTTTTATGGCTGAGTAGTATTCCATTGTGTAAATATTACCCACTGCTTTATCCAGTCATCTGTTGATGGACAATTAGGTTGTTTCTATGTCTTGGCTGTTGTAAATAGTGCTGCTGTGAACATTGGGGTGCATGTATCTTTTTGAATTAGAGTTCCCTCTGGATATATGCCCAGCAGTGGGATTGCTGGATCACATGGTAAGTCTATTTTCAGTTTTTTGAGGAATCTTCATACTATTTTCTGTAATGGCTGCACCGAGCTACATTAATACCGGCAGTGTAAGAGGGTTCCCTTTTCTCCACACCCTCTCCAGCGTTTATTGTTTGTGGAGTTTTTAATGATGGCCATTCTGACCGGTGTGAGGTGATAATGTCATTGTAGTTTGATTTGCATTTCTCTGATAATTAGCTGTATTGAGCATTTTTTCATGTGCCTATTGTTGTTGGCAACTTTTAAAATATCTATGGTGTGATGAAATCCTGGGTGGGCAGAGGAAGATGAAGCTACTGACTTTCAAAGAGGTAGCCTCTTGAGTGGACACAGGATTAGCATCATTTCTACTCATTCATTCATTTATTCCGTCAGTCAAGTCTTATTGAGAACCTACCATGTGCCAAGTGTTCTGTTAGGGGCTAGAGACACAGTAGGAAGGAAACACAACAGAGGCAGCCCACATCTTCAGGGGGCTTATGTCTAGTGGAGGAAGAACCACAAGTAAAGGTCTAATTACAGTACAGTGTGTGAAAAATAAATACTTCTACTTGAAACTGGAGTTTGAGGAATGGCAGAGAGTCCTTCAGAACAATTCAAAAGAGTGGAAATTACATCCTGACAGCAAGTAAGTCCCTGATGGTTTCCAAATAGTTCTCCATCCTCTAGGAATCAAGTAGGCAGTCATTTGAGAAATTGAGGGTGAAGGCGAGTAACAGTGGCACAGCAATCTGGCCAAATAAATTAATTCTACACTCTGCTAATTAACTTCCTTTCCCACATGGCGATTTGTTTTTACTCCACTGTTTAAACATGGTAGCATGGCTGAAGGTCAATTCTAGAATAAAAAGTCAATTTAGGGGGGGGGAGGAGGAAGTGGCAGAACCCTGGAAACACCTGGGCACAATCTCTTGGGATCCTCATCCCTTCTTGGGGCTTGAAACCCTCAAGGGCAGCTGGGAGGAGTGGTTTCCTCTGAGTCAGAATGTCCTAGATTTATTTACTTATTCTATTCATTCACTTCCTCTGCCACTTCTCCCAGGCCTTTTTTGGCTCTGTATTTTCCATGTCTTCAGTCTAATTCTCACTTGTTGTGGCAACCTGCTGTTTCTATTACTTGATTTAATTTGCTCGAATTATAGTCTGCGTTATCACCTCTACCCAGGGAGACCCTTAGGAATTTTCTCTAAGCTTGTCCATGCAGGCCTTTAGCAGGCAACAAGCTGGTGTAGGGCTGTGGCGTGGGGCGATCTGACTTCAGGATGTAAACAAGCTTGTTGAGTTGGGAGTAGTAGTGCTTACATTTTTAGAATAAGAAAAGACCCAAGAGGATCCATTGTGTGTGCGTTTGTGTGTGTGCACGGGCGCACGCTCGTGCTTCTGCCTGACCTATGTTTTTCTCTCACTTAAAAAAAATTCATTTGATCATGGCTTTAAATACCATCTATATGCTTTCGATTCCAAATTTCAGCCAGGCCCTCTCCCCTGAATTCCAGACTTGTATTGGACTGTCGCTTTGTCTGTCTATACTTGGAATGCCTAATAACCATGTCAAACTTAACATGTCCAAAGCTGACCTTCCAACTCATCCTTCAAACTAGCTTCTCCTACAGTCTTTCCTTCTCAGCTAAGAGCTACCCTATGCTTCTAGTTGCTCAGGCCAAAGAACTCGGAATCACCCTTGACCTTTACCCTTCCTTCACACCCAACGTCTGATCCTTCACTATCTCTTAAAAATATATCCCAAATTTGGCCACTTTTTACCATCTCTACTGCTACTGACTGGTCTAAGTTGCCATCATCCCTCACCTGGCATATGGCATTCTCCTGCTGGCTCTCCCTGTTTCCATTCTTGCCTGAGTCTGTTCTCCACTGGCTAGCCAGAATGATGCTTTTAAATTTTAAGTCAAACCTGCCACTCCTCCCGTCTGGATTCTCCAATGGTCCCCCCTTTTCTGGTCCCCTAGTACTATCTCTAACATCATTTTATGATTCTTCTATTTCACATTGTCACACCTACAATATTCTGAGCACCACCTGCCCCAGGGCCTTTGCATTGGCTGTTTCCTCTGCTTGGCAAACCATCACAGATATCTGCCTGGTTTATTTCATCATCTCCAGGCTCTGCTTCAGATGACATCTTCCTAATGAGCCATACCTGGACCACTTTGTTTAATACTATATCTCACTCCACCCAGCACTCCCAGTCTCCCTTACTCTGCGTCATTTTTTCTTTTTTTCATAGCACCCAACACCTTAAAATCAACTACATAATTGATTTATTTATAGTGTCTGTCTCTCCTTCCTGGAGATTAAGCCCACAAGGGCTCCGATAGCTTCTCTCTTCTGCAGCTTGAGCTTTTTCCAGGGCAATCTCATCACTGGGGGTGTCACTTCATCACCTCCTGCACATATTCCTCCTGGTGCTAAAATAATCTGCTTGGAAGTTGGGTTCTCATATGACTAGTTTATACTTACTGGAATCAAAGATGAATGCATTACCTCTTCTAACAATGCTTGCATATTAAAGCTCAGGTTCAATGGTGGAACAAACAGCCTTTTTCCTCATGAAAGGGGATGGGTGAGTGAAGGGTTGGAGGCGGACCCAAAAAGATTTGTTGTGTTGTTTTGTTACAACCTTTCTTGACATTTATGAAATCTTTACCTAGACTATTGGCATTTTCTCAATTTTACTCCTACTTTTTAGTGGAAAGTAAGGATTTGTGGTCGAGATAGGGTTGGCAAACTATGACTACCACCTGCTTTTGTAAATCAAATGTCTTGGAACACAGCCACAGTCCTGTGTTCAGATGTTGGGTGAGGCTGCTTGCTTTCTTCAACGGCAGAGTTGAGTAGTTTCAACAGAGCCCATATGTCCGCGAAGTCTCCAATATTTAACAATCTGGCCTTCACAGAAAAAAACTGCCAACTCTCACGGTCAGGAAGAATCCTGCCAGCTTTTGAAGTGACCTAGTAGCTTGGAATTTAGCTCAAAAGCTCAATTCAACAGATATGCATGGAATTGTATTGTGTACAAGGTGCTAGAGTTGGAAGCAAAGAAAGTAGGCAAAAGGGGGCTTTTATGGAACCCCCCAGCCACGATTCCCACTTCCATTCAAATTATTCCCCCCTCATTTTATCATGAATAATTTCAAAATATAGAAAAGGTTTTAAAAAATGTATGGTGAGCACGCTACACCACTAGATTCTACAGTTACATTTTGCTTTATTTGCTTTGTCATTTATCTGTTTATCTGCCCTCAATCCATGCATCAATCCACCTGATTGGTATTAGTACTGTTACGATTTCTGTTATTTTTTGGTGCCTTCAAAGTAAGTTACAGACGTCAGTGTACTCCATCCTTAAACACCTCAGAGTACATAACATTAACTGAAGGTTAATTCAAATTAGCCTTTTATTTTCATTCCAACACCGTGATCTTGAAAGCAGCCTTCATTTGTCCAAAAGACCCAGCCTTACAAAAGGTGAAAACCGAGAAAGGTTATCAGCGTAACTGAGGTAGGTATCAGGGGACTCATTCACCTAAATGTCTCCATTTCCCCAGTTCAGAGATGAATCAGCCTTTCAGGGCTGAGAATGTTTTGCTTGTGATAAATTCTAGGAAAGTTCTGTGGCTCAAGGGAGAGGGTCATAAGCTATTCTTTTCTGGCACGCTGCCAAAAACCCACGGGAAAGAGGAAAATAGTTATGATTTTCCTGCAATGGTTGATCACATGTAGCTTCAGGGTCAGAACCCTGGCCAATGGACCAGACCACGTCTGGTCAGATTCTTCTCGCAGGGGTGGAAATGCGAGTCACGTATACACATCTTTTCTGGATATTTTTGGATGTCTTTGACCACAAGAACATTAATGCCCTTCATAAACTAATGTTTACAAAATAATCTGTCCCTGACTTGGGGCCAGTTAATTTGCTGGGTTCAGAAAGTCTGAATCCCTAACATAGAATATTCGAGAGATATTTTTCATTCAATGAACAGCAGGTATAGCAAGCGCCATGGGAAGCAAAATACCAAAACCTGACCAATCTGCAGGAAAGATTTTTTGAGTGCTTAAAAGAGAAAAAAAAATTGCAAATGGTGACATATATAAGACACATTTAGACACATGTATTTCTATAAAATGTATTTTCAAGAAGAAAGTCATACAGAAGAAGAAAATAAAATTTTTGAGTTAAAAAGGAAAAAAGGTCACAAAACATGTTGATAAAGTGAGTGTCTTTAAAGATGATAATGGTGGTATTTGGAATTTTTTAGAGAAGGTTTTCTTCACTGTCATATGGACATAGAGCTTTCTTTATGTTTCCTGGGATTTCAGAGGCAATGGATGGTGTATCTACACACTCATGTATCCAGCTGCCTGTTCAACATCTCCAACTGGATGGCAAATGACAGTGCGAAAAGTGCTCAAAGTTCCATGTACAGAGTCGTATTTCTTTTTTTTTAATTGAAGTATAGTTAATTTACAATGTTGTGTTCATTTCTGGTATACAGCAAAGTGGTCAGTTATATACATTTATATATATATATATATATATATACACACACACATATGTTCTTTTTCATATTCTTTTCCATTATATGTTATTACAAGGTATTGAATATAGTTTCCTGTGCTGTACAGTAGAACCTTATTGTTTATCTCTTTTATACATAGTAGTTTGTATCTGCAAATCCCAAACTGCCAATTTATTCGTCCTCAACCCTCTCTTCCCCTTTGGTAACCATAAGTTTGTTTTCTATGTCTGAGTCTATTTCTGATTTTGTAGATAAGTTTATTTCTGTCATTTTTTAAGATTCCACATATAAGTGATATATGGTATTTGTCTTTGTCTGGCTTACTTCACTTAGTATGATAATCTCTAGGTCCATCCATGTTGCTGCCAATGGCATTATTTCATTCTTTTTTGTGGCTGAGTAGTATTCCATTCCCCTTCATCTTTATCCACAGAGTCACATTTCTCATCTCAAAAGTGGGCCCTGTTAATGGCGAAATGTTACATGCCGCATATTCCATTTGTAAATCCCCCCATGTTTGTTTTTCCTCATTTTAAGTCTTCTAGCTTTTTATGACTGCTCTGTTTTTTTCCCTCTGCAGTGGCCTACAAATAGAATTCCCTGCCTTGCTCTGAAAATGCACACCCTTGGACTTGGCTTCTCCCAGTGACCAGCTTCTCAAAGACAAGAAAGGAAGGAAGCTCTCACACCTGTTTTGGTTTCAGAGGCGGAAGGGATTCTGAGCCCCAGAGGAAGCTTTGAAAAGGTGATACACTGAAAGCATCCTCAAGACTATGGCAAATCCAGCATCAAAACGGGTAAAAATGTACAGGGAAGCCATTCTCTCCTGTTGTATTAGGAAGCTGTCCTTCTAAATGCTCCGTGTAATGGAGGAAACTGGCAGGGCACCTGTGCTCAGAGATTACTGCCGTGGCCAGTGGGACGCAACATTTCATGTCTTAAGTCTAGTTTAATAATTTTTTATCTTACTGGATGGCT